GCGTGCTACTTGCTAGCTATGTGATCTTCCGAGAGTTATTTAAGCTCTTTTGGTTTGTTTCCTTGTCTTTTGACTTAGTTTTGATGAGTGACAAAGCTCTGCAAAGTACTGTACTTAGCTAGGTAGATAATCAAGGCTTAGAGAGTATTTGTCCTTTCCGTAAGGCAATAAAGCAGTGGGACCATACTGCCCTACAGGAAGTGGAAATTGGTTTGGAGGAAAGTGTGTCAGTTTTTCATTATTCTAACAAAATACCCCAAACAGGCTAATTTACTATAAAGAAAAGCATTTTATTTGGCTCATAGTTCCAGAGGCTCACAGTCTGACTGGGTGGGCCTAACTGGTTTGGCCTCTGGTGATGGTGTTTTTGCTGGCAGAATCCACAGGGCATCCATCACGTGTCAAGAGTCGGGACATACTTGGTATCTGTGTGGCATGTGCCTCTCTTAGAGATTGATTGATTGATTGAAAGGTAGAGTGACAGAGAGGGAGAAATGTCCATTCATGGCTCCATCTGTTGTATGCCTTATACACATTAAGTAGAATCAGATTTTTTTTTAACTTTCCTTCCCTTCTATGGTTTAAATCTCAGTTTATTCCCTGAAGTCTTGTGTTAATGGCACTCTGAGGGCAGGAACTTAGTCTCATTACAGTGTGTTCAGTTGGTGGTCCATTGGGGTGAGATCTTTGCAGTGGAGTCCTAATGATCATGTCCTCGTGGTTTGTAGGAGACCAGTAGTGAACAATATTGTAGTTCAGTGATTAAGCCACCACTTGTGATATCACCGGCTTCCTATGTGGGAATACTGGTTCCAGTATCTGCTGCTCTTCTATCTCCTGCTGATGATGTGCCTGGAAAAACAGGAGAGGATGGCCCAAGTACAAGGGCCCTTTCCTGCCATCCCTGTGGGAGGGCTGGCTGGAGTTCTGGGCTCTTGGCTTCCGCCTGATTCTGTCCCAGCTGCTCTGGCTATTTGGGGAGTGAACCAGTGAAAGGAAGACACCTCTTTGCCTGTCTCGCTTTTTTTTTGCTTTCAAATAAATAAATCTTCAAAAATCTTTTTAAAAATCTTTTTAAAAATGTATTTATTTACTTCAAAGTTACAGAGAGATGGGGAGAGATAGAGAGAGAGAGAGAGAGATCTTCCACCCACTGATTCACTCCCCAGATTTCACATTTGGGGTGGGCCAGGTTGAAGATGGGAGCCAGTAGATTCCTCCACATCTCCCTTGTGGGTGGCAGGGACCCAAGGTCTTGGGCCATCTTTTGCTGCCTTTCTTAGGCTGTTAACAGGGAACTGGATCAGAAGTGGAGCTTGAACCAATGCCCATATGTGATACTGGTGCCCATATGGGATGCCAGCCTCCAAATAAATCTTAAAGTTCTACAATAGGTTTAGTGCACAAAAAAGATAATACAGTTTATCAGAAATTCAGTGATCAGGGAAGGGTGCCAGCACGTTGGCTCAACTGGCTAATCCTCCACCTCCAAACCTGGCTGCTCCATTTCCGATCCAGCTCCCTGCTTCCAGCCTGGGAAAGCAGCAGAGGATGGCCCAATGCCTTGGGACCCTCACAGAAGTGGGAATTGTAACCATTGGGGAGTAAACCAGTGGATAAAAGATTTGTCTCTCCTTCTCTCTGTAATCTGCCTTTCCAATAAAAGTAAACAAATCTTTAAAAAAGCAATAGCAAAAAACAAACATAAGGGAAGATGAGGCAGGTTAAAGAATGTCTAAAAATGCTCCTTATTGGAGCAGGCTTCGTGGTGCAATAGAATAATCTGAACGGATGGCCACATCTCAGTGTGCCAGTTTGAGTCACAGCTGCTCTGCTTCTAATGCAGCTCCCTGCTCCTGCACCTCGGGAGCAGCAAAGTGACGGCTCAGCTACTCATCATTTCTGTGGGAGGCCCGATGTAGTTCCTGCCTTCGGACTTGAGCCTCACCCAGCCGTGGCTGTTGCAGCCATCTGGGGGGTGAGCCAGCACATGGAAAGTTTCAATTCTCTGACTCTGTCATTCTGCGCAAACAGCAAACAAGAACACTCCCTAGCCGGTGATGATGAAAACAAGGTTGAGTAACACTGCAGTAAGGAATGGTGAAATAACGAAAGACACTAATAAGTATTTTTCTTACTAGTGTATATGTGGTCATTTCTGAGACGTTTAGCATTTTGGCAACTGTTCAGATTCTTACACAAGGAGTTAAATGCTAACATGCTATTTTTAATAAGAGTTGCATAAAGTGGTATCCTAGGACATTTAGGGAAATAAGTACCTAAAGCATAACATATAATAACAACGAAATGAAAGACTATTACTATAGAAAATATTTATCCAGTTGAAGTTTAATGATATTAAGTAGGCAGAGCTTTTACCAGGATTTATTATATTTCTATATTTGGAGACTTTGTGAATAATGAAGATTTTTAATTAAACTTCTGTGTGTTGGGCCTAGTGGCTTAGCTTAGCGGCTAAAGTCCTCACCTTGCATGTGCCAGGATCCCATATGGGTGCAGGTTCTAATCCCGGCAGCCCCACTTCCCATCTAGCTCCCTGCTTGTGGCCTGGGAAAGCAGTGGAGGACGGCCCAAAGCCTTGGGACTTTGCACCCGAGTGGGAGACCTGGAAGAAGTTCCTGGATTCTGGCTTCGGATCAGCATGGCACTGGCCATTGCGCTCACTTGGGGAGTGAGTCATCAGACAGAAGATCTTTCTCTCTGTATCTCCTCCTCTCTGTATATCTGACTGTCCAATTAAAATAAAATAAATCTTAGGGAAAAAAAACAACTTCTGTTTGTCAACCCTTAAATATAACCATTTGGGTACACTGCATCATTATTAAGCAAAGTATGTATATAAATAAATGCTTTGGGTATTTGAAACTTCAAGTGGTAGGCTTTTCAAATCTGTATACTTTTTTTTTTTAAGATTTATTTATTTTTACTGAATAGTCAGATACACAGAGAGGAAGAGAGACAGAGGGAAAAATTTTCCATCCATTGATTCACTCCCCAAGCGGCCGCAATGGCTGGGGATGAGCCGATCTGAAGCCAGAAGCCAGGAGCTTCTGGGTCTCCCACATGGGTGCAGGGTCCCAAGGCTTTGGACCATCCTTGACTGCTTTCCCAGGCCACAAGCAGGAAGCTGGATGGGAAGTGGGGCTGCCGGGATTAGAACCAGTGCCCACATGGGATACCGGCACATGCAAGGCGAGGACTTTAGCTGCTAGGCTGCTGCACTGGGCCCAAATTTGTATACTTTTAACTTACTCTGAAAATAAGTTTAACGAACTGCAACATTAATTCATATCTCTGTTTGTGATTATGGCAAGGGAGAGTCTTGGTGGGATTTCAGGTACCAAGTAATTAATCAGTGTCATCAGTCATTGCCATGTGATATTCTAGAAAGACAAAAGTGAATCTTTCTTTATACAAATTAAGAAATTTTCTGAGTATAAAAAGTGAAACATAAGGTTAATAGAATAGAAAATAGTGGAAGTATAGAGGCACATTAAAAACAACCATATCTTACAATCCCAAAGTAACTTTTATGTTCTTTCATTCCTTGACCTTTTCAACACTGATTATTTTTTCTGGGCAGCTTCATATTAAGAAAGGCACTGTCAAATGAGATTTTTGATAAATTTTTGTGAAATAGTGGTTTGTGCATGTCTTATGGTCTTCTTTAGGGGTTATTCTGAATTTCTGCAGCAAATAATTTTTCTTCTGTATGTTTTTAAAGTTAAAAAGAAAAAAGAGAGCATGAATTACTTTTTTATTTTTTTGCATCACTTACTTAATGTTCAGCCTAGCCCCATTCTGTTTAACTTTTACTTGGTTTTCAACATAAAAGGGAAGATTTTTTTTTCTTGTTTATACTTTCTTATCTTACTTTGAAAGATTTATTTATTCTGGTTGGAAAATCAGATTTGGAGAAAGGAGAGACAGAAAGATCTTCCATGTGCTGGTTCTCTCCCAGATGGTCGAAATGGCTAAAGCTGAGCCTTTCTGAAGCCAGGAGCCTCTTCCAGACCCCCCATGCAGGTGCAAGGTACAAAGGCTTTGGGCCATCCTTTGCTGCTTTCCCAGAATACAAGTAGGGAGCTAGATGGGAAGTGGAGTAGCCAGGACATGAACATGGGATCCCGGGATACGCAAGGCAAAGACTTTAGCCGCTAAGCTACCATACCACGCACTAAAGATATAATTTTATATTCTACTTTCAAAAATCGCTTTTTACAATCTTTTCTGTTGTGACCATGATTTGCAAACAGTTTTCTTTAAACTCAGTTGAGTCTTCAGACATATTTAGTATAATATGCCCAGTATTAGTCATGCAGTTTTAAAAAGTTATTTTCATTTTTTTTAATTTAAATTATTTTTTAGTGTTACATAGGTGAAGGGATTGCAGACGCCTACAGGTCTCAGGGTGGGAGATGAAGAGATGCAGCCGGGGAGGGGAAGGCGGTGGATTAGGGAAAAGACCCCACTGTCCCTCCTGTGCCCGCATGTGTTGAGGGGACATGTTGTACCCCTCTTTGCTGCCAGGTCCCATCACTGCCAGGGGATAGCAGTGGTCTGTTGATTTCATCCCAGGGACCTTGAAGAAGGGAAGAATGTAATTAGGATGTTATTTGAGTAGTCTGCATTGTTCTAGGATGGTGTTGGCTTAAAGACACTTTTAAAGGAGTTCTACAAATTAAAAAAGAGAGAGAATTCATATTAAAAATTTGATTTTCTGGGTTGTCTTGAAAAGCCACAGTGTCTTGAAACATTGGGGCTACACTGTTCCATTACACCACTTGGACTGGCTGCTACTTTCAGGTTTTCTGAGTGTTTTCTAGTGTGCCACTTTCCTGTGCCTCTCTACACTCTACTAGGAAGTTTCGCTTATTTGGGAGTTATACATTGCATTCTCTCTTCTAGGATAACCCACATTAAAGCAGCCCTGGTTGCAACACTTTGTTGTTAATACTGTATCTGTTTGTGTTTTGCAGGAGAAGATATATGGTCCTATGCGAAAGGACTTCCACACATGTTTCAGCCAGGTGGTGTCTTCTACAACATTATGAAGAAAACCATGGGTATTGTTGATTTCTGATTTTATTCTTAGATAACAGTTTTCAACTAACTGTAAGATTTAGAAAGTTCAGGTAGTATTCTTAAAAATATTTTGAAAGCCGAAATTGGGTTTATGTTCTATCTGCCTGATTAAAATTGATCAAAGACAAATTTTGAAATTAGGAGAAGATTTGGTGATAAAATTAGTCACTTTTCCAGAACTAGATCAGAGTTTTATTGGTTTTTGCTCAGCTCAGTATAAATTTCATTACTTTGGTGTATTTAGGAAATAACTTGTTTTACATTGTGTGCATTATTCATAAAGATAAATTTACTTGTGTGTAAGTAACTGTCTTCAGAGTTTTAAAATCTTAAGATATGGACCTTAAGGGAGAAGTTGCCAGGTTCTGTAGTGCCATATGTCTATTTAGAGATTTGATACAATTAATCTGCCCCCCCCCCCCGCTTACCTACCACTCTGACTCACCTCATTATCTCTCCTATCTTGGTTGATTCTTTAAGTTGAACAATCTGTATTTTGTGATTTTTATCTCTATCACAGACTTTTTTTTTCTTCTTAAAGGGACCATGTTGGGAAGGCATTTTATAGAGTGGCTAAATGCCACTTGGGATACCCACATGCCTTACTAGAGCGATTGGTTGAAATCTTGTCTCTGCTTCCCATCCAGCTTCCTGCTAATGTACACCTTGGTAGGCAGCCGATGATGGTTCAGTTATTGGGTCCTTGCCATTCATATGGCAGACTGATGGAGTTCAGGACCTAGCTCGGCGTTGGTTGTTAAGGGCATTTGAAGAGTGAGCCAGTGTCTGTCTTTCTCCCTTTAAAAACAAATAAAACTTTTAAAAACACTCAGGGTCCAGCACATTAGCTCAACTGACTAATCTTCCACCTCCAAGTGCTGGCATCCCGTATGGATCTGGTTTGTGTTCTGGCTACTCCACTTCAATCTAGCTCCCTGCTTGTGGCTTGGGAAACAGCAGAGGATGGCCTATTACCTTGGGACCCTGCACCTGTGAGAGAGACTTGGAAGAGGCTCCTGGCTTTGATTTGGCTCAGCTCCAGTGTTGTGGCCATTTGGGAGAGAACCAGCAGATGGAAGATCTTTCTGTCTCTCCTTCTCTCTTCAGATCTGATTTTACAATAAAAACAAAACCAAAGCAAAAGCACTCACTCAATTTGGCTGTTACAGAAATACTCAGTTATGTACTTGGATGGCAAGAGTAGTGTAACTAACCCCCATTTCCCACCATTCAGTTTTAACAATTATCAGTACATCTCCATCCTTTACACAACTGTGCTTTTTCCCCTGGTTTTAATATTTATTGTAATGGTTGCAGATCCATGTGGCCCTTCAGTTAGGATGGAGAGGGCTGGGGCGGGGAAGGGAATCAACTGAGCTGTTTTATGGTGGTCTCGGGAAAAGGTGTAGTGGTGCAGCACGATCCAGCCTTTTGTTAGGATGACGACATTCTGCATCAGAGTGCTAATTCACATCCTGGCAACTGTACTTCCAATTCCGTTTCCTGATTTGCTTGGACCAGCACATGTGTGGTAACCCAGGTGCAATTCTGGCTCCTAACTTGACCCTTACGCAGCTCTGGTTGTTGCAGCCATTGGGAAGTGAAGCAGTGCATGGAAGATCTGTCTCTCTCTTGACACTCTACCTTCCAAATATCTATCTTTCTTTTTTTAAAGGATTTATTTTATTTTTACTGGAAAGGTGGATATACAGAGAGGAGAGAAAGAGAGGAAGATCTTCCATCCGATGATTCACTCCCCAGGCGGCCGCAGCGGCTGGAGCTGAACCAATCCGAAGCCACGAGCCTCTTTCAGGTCTTCCATGCTGGTGCAGGGTCCCAAAGCTTTGGGCCGTCCTCGACTGCTTTCCCAGGCCACAGGCAGGGAGCTGGATGGGAAGTGGGGCTGCTGGGAGTAGAACTGGCGCCCATATGGGATCCCAGGCGTACAATGTGAGGACTTAACCACTGCGCCACTGTGCCATCGCGCCGGGCCCCCAAATACATGTCTTTAAAAATTCATCACTCCAAAAACTTTCCTTGTTCCCCTTGGTAATCATTCTCCTTAGGCACTTCCTCCCAGACCATGGCAGCCACTTTTCTGTTTCTGTGTTTGTGTGTGTTTTGGTTATTTTTCAGATAACATGTTTTTAATTAGTGTTATAGTCAAAGGCTTCATTATCCTCTAAAAGAAGAGTGCAATGAATAGGAAGTTAAAAGATTGTATTTCCACAGAATCTGTCTATATTTGCCTCTTTCATAGTGCCACATAAATGGAATCATATAGTATAACCTTTTGTCTCTGGCTTCTTTGGTCAAGGACTGGAGTCAGCAAACTGAGGCCTGTGGGCCTCATCAGATCTGTTGCTTGTTGTTTATCAAGTTTTATTGTTTATTTATTGTTTTTGGCCGCTTTCAGATTGTAGTGATAGAGTAGAATAGTTAATGACAGAGACCATATGGTCTACAAAACCTAAAATATTTACCATGTTATTCTACAGAAAAAAAATTGCCTGTTTTGGTATTGATATAATTTTGCAGTTTATTTACCTTTTTAATCCTATTGGGAATTTCCCCTTTTATTAGTGCAGAATAGATTCTTTTGTATAGATTTCTCACATTTTAAGAATGATCCATGTCTAATTAAAGAACATTGTCCATTTTCAGTTTTTAGCTGTTTGAATAAATCCATCACAGACATTTGTGTATGGGTCTTTGTGTGTGGACATATGTCTTTACTTTTCCTTGGTAAATATATAGGAGTGGAACTGTTGGGTCATCCAGTTTTTGTAAGATTTATAAAGTTCATATGATATTCTGTTATAAAATATCGGTTATTTTTCTTTATAAGAAACTCCTAAACCATTTTATAATTTTATGTTACTGCTAGTGCTGTCTGATAGTTCCAGTTGTTTTGTGTCCTTGAAAGCATTTGATAGTATCAGTTTTTGTTTCTAAAAAGCATTGAAAGGTTATAACGCCATCTCACAGTGGTTTTAATTTCCATTTCCCAGACAACCAGTAATGTTGACCATCTGTGTGTATTTATTTTGTATTTTTTTGTTGTTATCTATTTTAAAATTGGCTTGATTCTTTTAAATGTTGTGAGTTTGGAAACTTGTTTATATATATGCTATTGTTTATCAAATAGAAATTTTGCAAATATTTTTCTCAGTTAATAACTTGTATTTTGTAGAGCTTTCTAAAGTTTTGGTGTAGTCCAATGTAACTTTTTTTTTGATGGTTCATGTTTTTTGTCTCCTTAGAAATATTTGCCTAATCCAGGGTCAAAAAAATTTTTTTCCCTTCCTAGAAGCTTTATAGTTTTAGGTTTTATATTGAATTGTATGATACATTTCATGTTCATGGTTTAATATGCTGTACAGTGGTGGGTTAAAATGGACTCTTCTATGTATGGATATTCAGTTCCAGCACCATTTGTTGAAAAGGCTGTACTTGATCTGTTGAATTAGTTTGATACTTCAAAAACTTTGATACTTTTGTCAGAAATCAATTGATTGTGAATTATACACTCAAAATGATTGAGCTATGCAGAATATACCTTGGTAGGTTCTTTTTCTAGTTCTAAAATCTGTTTTTATGTTGTTCTACATGTTTCTCCTTTGGACAGTCCTATATCTTGATTATTTCATCTTTTAGTAATTCTTGAAATCAGAATTCATGTCAATCTTCTGTCTTTATTCTTTTCCAAAATTATATTGAGTATTTTAGACTTTTTGTTTACCCATGTGAATTTCAGAACCATCTTGTTAATGTCCTTACAAAGACATCTGGTGGAGCTTTTGTTTGATTACATTAAATATGTTGATCAAGTTGATGATAGTTGATTTCTTGATGGCATTGAGTCTTTTGATTGATGAAAACGTTGCAATTTTTGTTTAAGTTTTACATTTCTATCATCAGAACTTTAATTTTCAACACTCGGATCTTGTTTTACTGTATTAAGTTTGTATCTAATTTTGCCATCTTTCAGATGCTATCATACAAAGTTTTTTCAAAATTCCAGTTTCTTATTGTTTGTCACTAGTGTACAGAATAAAATCAATTTTTATACATTGACCTTGTACCCTCTGACCTTTCTAAACTTAAATTTTGGTTCTAGCAGGCAACAAATCTAGGTTGATTATTCGGGAATAGTTATGTAGGTCATCATATGTTTTACAAATAAAAGTTTTATTCTTCCCTAAAGTTTTATATGCCTTTATGTTTTTGTGGGTTTTTTTTGTTTTTTCATTTTCACTTCAATGTTGAATAGGAGTGGTGAGAGTGGGAATTTTTTGCCTTGTTGCTTACCTTGGGGGAATGTATTCAACATAGGTTTTTCAAATGTTTCCTAGGTGAGTTTAAAGCCATTACATTCTAAGATTTGCTAAGAATTTGTATAGTCAGTAATGTGATTTTGTGCAGTGCCCTTTTCCTACTTCTATCAAGATATTCCGTATAGTTTTTGTATTTTTAAATGTTGACCAGTTTTGCATGCTGGTTTCTCCTTGTTGAGTCATTTTTGTGAATATGTTTATGAAGATAATGGCCTGCAGTTTTCTTGTAATGATTATGTCATCAGGGTAATGTTGGCTTCATAAAACAGAGTTTGGATGTGTTTCTTCCTGTTATTTTCTGCTGCTAGCCGTTTTATAATATTCATCAGTGTATTCATCTGCATTTGAGGTTTCCTTTATTGAAAAGTTTTTGATGTTGGATTTAATTTCTGTAATACAGTTAATAAAGGTTGTCTCTTGCTAAGTTTGTTTTATCTTTCGAAAAATCTGTCCCTGTCAGCCAAATTAGCAAATTTTTTGGCATAAAGTTACTTGTAATATTCTTTTCTTTCCCTTTCAGTGCTTTTAGCTCTTTCATTTCTGTTATTGGCAATTTGTGCCTCCCACACCCATTTTTCCTTTCTGTCTATTGTGACTAATGGTTTATCAATTTTATTGATCTTTTCTAAGAAACGGCTTTTGGA